GGCCCCACAATGGAAGGGAGCCCTTCTTCAATGACCACCAATGTAAGGGTGCCCTTCTTCAATGACCACCAATGCAAGGGAGCCCTTCTTCAATGACCACCAATGTAAGGGTGCCCTTCTTCAATGACCACCAATGTAAGAGGGCCCTTCCTCAATGACCACCAATTTAAGGGGGCCCTTCCTCAATGACCACCAATGTAAGGGGGCCCTTCTTCAATGATCACCAATGCAAGGGGTTCCATCTCCGCTGACCACAAAACTAAAGGGAGTCCTTGTCCACTGGCCAGCATTTGAAGGAGGCTCTTCTCCACTGACCACCAATGTAAAGGGGCCCTTCAATCTATAGGGGCACTTCTCAACTCTGCCTCTACTGCACCAAAATTGCAAGCAGTGCTATCAGTCCTGCCCTCCTCTATTCCGCTGGACTACAGAACATCTATTTATGTTAAGAGGATGAGGTGGGCGGAGGGGGGTTTTGTAGCCCACAACGGGAAAATTGGGCAGGGCTAAATAAAAGAGTTCAGCAATTAGTATAATGCAGGGTTCATGAGGTGGACCCTGTGGTGGGATTATAACAGTAGGTCAGAAGGTCTTGGTAGTGATTTTGCTGTGCCCCACTATGTAATTTCGCCTCTGGCTCGATACCTGGCTGGCAACCTACCCATGGTTTCCACATAATCCGTGTATCTCTGAGGACTGGTGACTTTATCAGGGCAGTATAACTGGGCATTGCCAAAGTCCAGGATCTTCAGGAGTTTGTGTTCGGTCACGACGGTGTTCTCTGACCTCAGATCCAGGTGAAGAATCTGCTTGCCGTGGAGGAACTCAACCGCACTGAGGATCTGCCACAGGTAATCTCTGACCTCCAGCTCCGAATAGGATTGTCTGCAAGGAGAACATAGATGGTGTCATCACTGTCAGGGTCTAATATGCACCATCACACCATGATGCCTATCCTCAGAATGGGTGTACCGCTCTTTAAAACACACTCACACAAGATATACAGTATAGGGGATCACAGAACTAAGTTCACCAAGACTTCAACCAGACAGACACAGACTTCTTCACATCCAAATATTTAAGAGGCCCTGGGATCTCAATGCACACTCAAAAGTCCAAATCCACCAAAGTTTTCCAAGCAAGCAAGCAAGCTCACAGGCTCTGGTAGGGTGGCTCCAACAGCATAACAGATCTCCCTTGGTGGGTACCCGGAAGAAGCTGAGACATAAAATGAACCACTTGCTGACCGTGGTGTTTACACCCCCTTCCTGTCCAGGCCATTTTTCAGTATTCAGCGCTGCGGTCAGGGGTGTATCTACTGCAAGCCAAACTAGGCATTTGCCTAAAAAAATGCTACCACCAAACCAGAGAAAGAGAATAAATTATATTATAAATTATTCATAAATGACTGCCAGTACTCCATGACCTGGTGCTTCTGTGGGACCACCGTGTCCACCTATGCCGCCTACTCCTACATATAGGAGCTCCTTCCTCTTCCTGGTCAACATGCTGTGCAATGTACTGGTGTGTGTGTGACTTTCATCCGGATGCACCGGCAGTTCATGCGCCGGACCTCCCTGGGAAACCGGCACCCAAATCTCTGACTTCAGGCAGCGGAGGAGCTTCAGCAGGATCCCCGGGGCTGAGATCCAGATGGTCATCGTGCTCATCGGCACCTCCATGGTGGTGAGTCCGGGGAAGTGCGGCCTATAAGCTCCGTGCCGGGTTATGTCTCTAGAGCGGGACGAGCTACAGAGCCCAGCGGCCAAGGCAGAAGATTGGTAACTGCAGAATTAAAGGGCCCAGCATATGAAGGCAGAAGATCGGTGTTGCAGCGGCAGAACTAGAGACTAGCTCAGCCTGGGCATGGCAGGAGAGAATGGTTATTGTAGCTGGAGAACTAGGGAGCCATTTACTATATAACAAAAAAAGTACAGAATATTTAAAAAATAAAATGGTTTTCCCTTTATTATTTTAGGAAGCATTTATTTTTACCCAATTTTTTGGTAAAATATAAAAGGCGTGATCACGTCGGGTAAATAGACACCAAACATGTCAAGGCCTTAAAATTGCGCGCGCCCGCGTAAAATCGCAAAAAAAACCCTAGCCAAAATTGGCCATAGGCGACGCTTTAAAAGATTTTACCGCTCATAAGTTTAGTGTTATCAGTGATTAGTGGCCCGGGAATTATTGCTCTCACTGCGACGTTCGCGGCGATATGTAACACGTGCGGCATAATTGGAGCAATCATCGCTTTTGCGTGTAGGCGCATCTAACGCATCTTTGTGGGGGTGGGGGATTTTAAAAAAAAAATTGGGTTTTTTTTTTCTTGTTTTGTGTGTGTAAATGTTTCTTTATTTTGTGAGCAATTTTTTTTTTTTACTTTTTTTACACTTAACTTTATTGTTATCACATAGGGTGCTAAGAAGTGCCCTATGTAATAACCGATGACAGTGACAGGTCCCTGTTTATGGAGACATCAGGGGTCTCTAAGACCCCTAATGTCACTTAGGGACCCCCCAGAGAAGCTGATGAAGCACCGATCCGCTTCATCAGCTTCTCTCCAGTTTCTGTACCGGAGACAATAATTCACACGATCTCCAGGTGAAAATAAAGGGGAGAAAAAGGCCTAAAAAAGGACAACGAATGCAGTCACCACATATAAGGATTGCAAAGCTGCAATATATTTCTATTTTGTTTTTGGGTTCAGATATGCTTTATTGGTCAGAGAAACGTTTATATTGTCTCCGTGCTACATGAGAGCCTCATAGGGAGGAATTTATGACTGAAGCTGCAATATTATAGAAAATAGGGAAGCACCGATACCGATACTAGTATTGGTATCGGTGCCAATACCGAGCATTTGAGCGAGTACTCGTACTGGCCCAAATGCTTTGATACTTACCTCCGATAACGGAACTTCCGCTCAGAGGGAGATCTCCCTCTGACCAGCAGTGCCAAGGGAGCATGGAGCCGGCTTCCCTTCCAATCAGGAGCCCGGCGGTGGGTTATGACCTGTCTCCCGTATTCCTGATTGGCTGGGAAGCCGGCTTTACTTGTTGCTAGGCAGTCTGGCTTCCTAACCAATCAGGAAGCCGGACAGCACCCCATAACTCGCCGCCCGGCTTCCTGATTGGTCAGGAAGCCAGGCAGCCTTGGCAAGTGAAACCGGTGTTCTTTCGCTAGAACACCCGGCTTCACAGGCAATCAGGAAAGCCAGGCGACTAGTCATGATCCGCTGCCCGACTTCCGGATAATCGGGGCACACGGTACTGTTCATTGGTTTTGGCGAGTAGCAAAAAAATAAAAAATATCAGTACTGATACCGAAAAACCCTGCATCCCTAATAGAAAACCTGTTGCTCTGCACTGCTCCTGTTTAGAATTACCTTGCCGTGAGGACACAATTGATCATTGCCCCCCGTACTATGCAGGACTGGAAGAGGCCAGCTTCCCTTTAAAGGAGAACTATGGGGGTCGGTGTTTTTCCCCATAGTTCTCCTAAGGGTAACGGGAGGACACAAACTAGCGTCCTCCCGTCACACTCAGCTCAGTTACCCCGTAGCTACAGCTCGCGGTATACTGAGACGCCGAAGCGGATCCCGACATCGATGCCGAGATCCGCCCAGCTCCGTGAGTGACAGCTGGCTCTGCCTATCTAGAGGCAGAGCCAGCTGT